GTCGAAGAAACCGTAATAAAAAAACGCTCGTACATGCCGGACACCAAAGGATAATTCTGGAAACCGGAAAACTTATATTAAGAGATATTATCAGAAAACAAATCAGGTACATGTCGGTACATCATTTAAAACGAGCAAAGCTACAAATTAAAGGTGCAACATTGGAGCATGTTATTATTCCACAATACTACCGTTTTCCCAGGGAAATATGAAAGAATAAAAATCGTATTGAATCGTATTACATGAAAAAATCGCATTGTCCCCTGGAAAAATCGTATTGGAGCGTATTACATGAAAAAATCGTATTATCCCCAGGAAGAATCGTATTGGAGCGTATTAACCTATTTTTGGTTTACCGGTTATTTTTTACCTTGACATAAATGAATATGGGTTTTATTCCTCGGAAAATATTATATTGACCTTGGGCAATATGATATTGACCGAGGGAGCGCAAACAATGTGTATTTATTAATATAATGTTTGCATTATCCAAATATAACATTTTAGAGGGATGTATTATGGAATAAATAGATTATTTCTGGTCGGGGTTGAATACGGATTTTATTCCTCGGAAAAATGAGACACTTGGTCGCTGTGCTCCCTCGGTCAATATCATATTACCCTTAGGTCAATATCATATTGTCCCTCGGAATAAAACCCATATTCAATTCTTCCCAGTAAATAACCTATATGTAAAAGAAATATTCCCAAATACTTCTTGAAAGGGAAAGACGGGACTAGACTTGGATTTGTAGATATAGATCTAGGGCAAGCTCTGTAGTTTTCTGAGGGAGACGCCGTTGGATTGCTATTCTAGTACCTGCCATGTTAAGTGTACATCTTAACAGCGCAGCGTAGTCGTTGAAAGGTAATTTAGTATTCATGTTAGAGGCAGATATACACAGAAATATTTTAATTTTCAAACTTTCCTTTGGTTTTTCTGAAACTTTTCAACGGTAAAATATTCTGGTAAAATATTCTGGTAAAAGATTCTGGTAAAACTTTTTTTGATAACTTTCTTGTAATTTGAGAACAATCATATTCGCAAAACGAAAAACAATAATCCCCTCAAGTTAAATAAAAGTCGGGTAATAAATATGGCTTATATCCATATCAATTTAAGAACTTCTACCTGAAGACCAAACGCCATTACATTTTCTTGCAAAGTAATGATTAAAGATTTCTACATTCACTTTCCCTTAGAAATGGATTTCGTTATGTCACAACTTGTTTATGATAAAATGAAAATGCAGCTCAACATTTACATATGACGTTACATTTGCATGCCACAGGCGATAACAACATTTCTCCAATCTTCCACATGTAGTTCTGTCTTCTAAACACATAGTTTAGTTGTAAGGAGTGAATATTATATTTAGCATTGACATATGACTATCCAAATATTGAGATTGACCATCCTTACCTTTTGAATCATCTTCCGCCTTTCTAAACTGTTTTTTTTCTAATTTTTTCTGAAATACTTATCATTATAATCATTGAGGGCAGCTACTTACGCCTTGAGCTTGATTAACTAGGATATGATGTATTGGATCACTTACCTAATCTACTAGTATTGTATCTATATATCCATACTTCTTTAACCATTAATTGGAATGTCAATTACAACAGCGTTCGTGTCCAACTATTTTCATTTCTCCCTCGGCGTTGATTACAACATTCTGCAGGTCGGAATCACGATTTTCCATTCCAAGCCAGAAATTCGAAGTAACCCATGATTACTCAGAAAGCAACGCATCTGTATATTGCTCAAATCTCAGATCTTGTCTTAGGGGATGGATCAATAATTTAGAGGAACGGTTATTCAAATAAGACAAATCCCATTGGTTAATTCATAGCTCGTGGTACTGCTTCGCATCATGGGAATAGACACGCTTGCGTGATTAAAGATCATAAACTGAAACGGCTGCAAATTTAGAAAATCTGAGAACAATATAGCCAGTGTTCCGAATGAACGACCTGGTATGCGATGATTTCTTGATCTCACCACTTGGCAATCAACAGGCAATGAACAAACGAAGAATGATGCAAAAACGTAACACAATTACCCCTTGGAATTAATATGATTTCTTTTTCGGTAGCATTGATTCCTTCATAGAATCTCTACCTTTAGAAATGAGCTAATATTTAAGAGCAGAAGCATATCTTCTTCCCATCTATCTGTTAATTATCGGTCAAAACATTTCAATCAGTTACAGGTGGATGGGGATTAGTACTTCAATCTGGTTATGCTATCGATCTGTAGTTTCAGTTACCAGTACTAAACATGTGTAAAGGAAATGATTCTAAACTGTATCCTTATCTACCTAAATGCAAGTTCAGGGAGCAGTACTCTATTCGTTAGAATAGGCTAATTTCTTAGGTTGTGTCCATAATAAAATAGGATATCATATATTCGTTATTGTATCATACTTGATATAGTTCTAGTGAAGTTCTGATATATTTTATTCCAATAACAAGATACCTTAGTTATTGGAAGCAGAAATGTTCTTACTTCTATACTTGTAATTATAGTCCAGGTTACGTACGGTGTAAAATAACACTTGCTACTTGTTTTCTACTTGCTACAATTAAGGTTTCAGAATAAATTAAAGTGACAACAAACAACGGAGGGTGTAAAATATAGGTATCATCTTTGAAAATGCATACAAACGTTGCCATTTAAATCATTTTATCATCCAAAAAGAATATAACATATATGATCAAATATTGAAGATAAAATTTCAGCAATACCCTTATCAGAATTAATAAAAGGCCGGCCAATTTTCAAAAAATAGAATTGACTGTTGAAGTTTTTCAACAGTCTGACATCAAATGTTCATCAAACAATTCATTAACTGTGATTTATTTTAAGTAAACATAAACATCAGATCAATTCGTCTCTAGTCTTTGCCATTTAGTTGTACAGAATGGGCACCCTCGCAGTTAATTGTTGAAAAGAACTATTAATTATAGCTCTGGACTCACTGCATTGTGGACTGAATCATTAGTCAAAAATGTGTTATTTCAACCTTTGCATGAAATGCGCAGCATTGAGTGTAAAGTTATAAAATAACCCCGAGTGGAATGAATCAGCCACAATTCATCAAGTCTTGGGTTTAATTCTTTTCAAACATTGCAAAATATTATCAACGAAATCACCTAAAATATACGATCACTGAAAGAACATATTTTCAATGAAACCTTTTGCTAGAGATATGGTCAAGTTGGCAAAGCATCAATTTCAATCTGTAGGGTCAAGTTGTCACCTTGACAACCATCCAAGGAATAAATCTTGGGTGGCTAGTTGCAGGTTATAGAATGCAGTGTAGTTATATGAAATACTGTGTTCAGATTGACTGGAATCGGAACCATCTTGCCAGTAGCTATATGTGAATTATTGTTCATAAACGATGAAGCGATTCATCAACCGATTTCATATTTGCCGTTCTGCAAATAACGTGCACCCCCATGTATCACAGATCAAGCGTATCACAGATGTCCATTTAATGATCTAGACCATTAGATATTATGACAGGTAACTAGGCAGATGTAAGATATGGGATGCATGCAGGACGTTTCTACAAGTTACCATACCGTAAATCATTACCTTTACCCACTCAAGCAAATTGGAATATAACTATATATTAGTGGCTGGGGGACTGCAGGTATAATCGAATAATTGTTCACCCTTTTTCGCATTTTTATTAGAAGAAGCAGTGAGACTGATACATACTTGAGTGTTTTTCAACGAAAAGGGGTAACATTTCGCAAACGACTCACGTCCCCTCCTCTTTAGCCAGCCTTACTTACTCATAGGTGACCAAGGTTTATATAATGGGAAACGAGACTCAATTTATTAGTTATGCGAGCAGTTAATCTTGTCAAGAATATCTGCATTTTTGAAGTTCAATCCTGATCTTGAGTTTGAGCCTCGATGAATGACAAACCGTTTAGTTACTATAGCAACGTGTTTTCCATGATCAAAATTATCTCTGTCATTATTGAGTGATTAATTACCGAAGAACATGAGAACTCAACTTACCTTTACATAAACCCGGGTTCATCGTTCTTCAAAGTAATGCTTGGTAACATCTTCATCCTTGAAGAAAGGAAGTACTCCGAGTAAAAGACATTCCGTTGATTAGTTAAGTAAAGCCAATCAAATAAAATACAATGATCTTAAATTAGCGAATCCATCTCAGGGATTTTCTTGGAACTCAAAGATCATTCGGTTAAGTCACTTTGACTTATTTCTCAAAATACACTGTCACATGTATAGATGGGTCAATACAGTTTTAACGTTGGTTCCTTTTTGTTCTATGGAATATACAATTGACTGAATTTAGCTATAATTAGGTTTCTATGGAAACGCCAGTGAGATAATTTGACTGATTTTTGTTGTCCGCCTATTGGATTAGCATTGATATTAAACAGAGCTATGTATTGTCAATTACGTGTGATTGTTTCTAATAGTCATTTCTATGATCGCGCAAAAGGTCACTGTACTGTACAGTTCTCAATATTGTATTGTATTGTATGTTGTTTACCACAAATGAAGGTGAGCAATACCTCTTGGGTATATCCAGTATATATACGGTAGTAATTAACGTAATTCGACTGGGAGATAGACCCAGAAACTCCTCCTCAAAGGAGCACTGTGTTCTTTTATGTGCACTCATATATAGTCATACAAGTACACACTACGACCTTTTTACGAGTTGTCGACAACTCAGTCAAACACCCTGAAGTACTTTACGCAAACAGCCAAATTATAGTATTGCCTGAACAGGGGATCGAATCCCGGACCTATTGCGTTATGTAAGAGCTTCACGCGCTACCGCTGAGCTAAACAACTGGATTGTATATAATCAATTTTGGCGATTTGGCGATGAATCATTACACTAAACTACGTATTTTGAAAAAAGATGTGCTTCTCCAGAGCTTGACGCAATTCTCTACATATGTATTTTAAATCAATGAATAAGTATTTAATCTGTTTCCAATGCATTTATCTTATCTTTGACATATTCAATTCTACAGGAATTTGTTTGTCTAGCTGTAAGTCCAATGGAATATCATAGATTGTTCATTTTGAATCATGAGAATTCCATTGTGTCAATGGATTCTACAGTGGGGGATCCTATTATGACCTATAATGTTTATTTCGGTGTTTATTTAGAGTCCATCAATGCAGAGGCCCATATATTGGAAGATGGTTCCTCTGGATTAACCCATGATGAAGGAATTCCTGATCCAGAGACACGAGCACCATCAACAATGTACATGTCCCACTCCCTCCTGCAAATAAAACATATATACCTCGTATATGCTGAAAAGAACAGCACATTATAACATATACTGTTGGTGAACGAAACGTACAGGGCGTGTATCACTTGGTTCCTCAAAGTTTCTCACCAAACATGATCACATTTTTTCTGGAAAAGTTATATATTCTATCAATATGAACAAGGCGTTGACATGCGAAATGTCACCACCTGCACTTCCATGTACATACTGTGACCACCGAACACCAACCATCGACCACTGTCCACAAAAAAGTTGATGACAACTTTAGAGTAAACCAGAACAACGGCAACGCCAAAGCGTAGCGAATCCCATCGAACAGAAATAGCTGGCATTTTTACAAACGAAATATATAGCAAATATCATAAAATAACATGCACACATAAGAAAGTTGTCATCAGAAGAAGTAATATGCTTTTTTATAGTATTCACATGCCAAATATGAACAAAATCGCTCCACTACTTTTCGAGTTATAGTAAAATACTTTAAAATGGTGGCCATTTTTCAAAATGGCCGCCTTCTACCAAAAGTGTCATAAGACAGTGTGGCATGCTAATAGTATTCGAATACCAAACATGAACAAAATCGCTCCACTACTTTTCAAGTTACAGCAAAAATCGTAAAATAACGAGTAAAGGCCGAGTAAAATACATTTAAATGGCGGCCATTTTTCAAATTCCATTTTTTGTCATCAGAAGAAGTAATATGCTTTTTTTATAGTATTAGCGTAGCGAATCCCATCGAACAGAAATAGCTGGCATTTTTACAAACGAAATATATAGCAAATATCATAAAATAACACACATAAGAAAGTTGTCATCAGAAGAAGTAATATGCTTTTTTATAGTATTCACATGCCAAATATGAACAAAATCGCTCCACTACTTTTCGAGTTACAGTAAAATACTTTAAAATGGTGGCCATTTTTCAAAATGGCTGCCTTCTACCAAAAGTGTCATGAGACAGTGTGCCATGCTTATATTATTCACATACCAAATATGAACAAAATCGCTCCACTACTTTTCAAGTTATAGTAAAATACGTTAGAATGGCGGCCATTTTTCAAAATGGACGCCTTTTACCAAAAATGTCATTAGACAGTGTGCCATGCTTATAGTATTCACAAACCAAATATGAACAAAATCGCTCCACTACTTTTTGAGTTAAAGTAAAATATGTTAAAATGGCGACCATTTTTCAAAATGGCGGCAAATTTTCAAAATGGCCTCCTCCAACCAAAAGTGTCATTAGACAGTGAGCCATGCTTATAGTATTCACATACCAAATATGAACAAAATCGCTCCAATACTTCTTGAGTTACAGCAAAAATCGTAAAATAACGAGTAAAGGCCGCCATTTTTCAAGATGGCTGCCATGTGCTATTTTAATTTCTACATTTCTAGCTTTATCAATGTCCTATATAATTTTTTTACATTTAAAACATAATGCTATCACAGTTTTACATAGTGCACCTAAATTACTGTAAAATCGGCACTAAAATGGCCGCCATTTTGAAATGAGTGGCCATTTTGAAAATCGGCTTTTTAGCAGAACTTCTACTCCCATAGGGAATATGTGTACAAAATATGAACAAAATCGGGCCAACGGTATTTGAGTTATTGCCCGGACGGACGGACGGACGGACGGACGGACGGACGGACATCTTGTAATATATAGATACACTGTCCCACATGTTTTGTTAAAGAGCAACTGAAGCATACAATCTTTCCACAAAGATAAATTCAGACCAACATTTGGATATCTACATCATATAGGTAGATTATAATTGATTTTATTTACTTGTCATATCCAGTATTTAATACATTATAGGTTTAAACCCATATTAATATTGAAGTCATATTTGGTAAGTTAAAATCCAGTATATATTAATTATAGGAAATACCCATATTAATATTTAAGTCATGATTGGTAAGATAAAAATCCACATTAGATATAAAAGCAGGTTCCTCAGGCTTGTGACTGGGCATAGGTGGGTTTAACGTTTTAGTCCATGGAAACACTCCCCTTCCCTGCATGGATTCAATAAATAAGACATACATGTAACTGGGTCCCTGGACTATATTAACAAGTCCATGAACGCTTCAGTGTACGGTGTATTTTTATAGTTAACATTTTTAATTTGTTTTCCATTTTTATATTAAACATTTTTCATTTGTTTTCCATTTTTATAGTTAACATTTTTATTTATTTCATTTTTTATTTTTCTATTCATATATCTATACCATTTACTCAGTATTTTAAACTATTTAAAACCAGAACAACGGCAACGCCAAAGCGTAGCGAATCCCATCGAACAGAAATGGCTGGCATTTTTACAAACGAATAGCAAATATCATAAAACAACACACCAGAAAGGCCACCATTTTCAAAATGGTTGCTCACTAGCCAAGATGTCATCTGAAGAAATAATATGCTTTTAAGTAGCCACCTCTAAAATCTTTGAAAAATCATACATGTACTTGTAAAATAACACACATAAAAATGGTGGCCATTTTTCAAAACTAAATGCTTAAAATACGTTAAAATGGCGGCCATTTTTCAAAATAGCCACCTTCGACCAAAAGTGTCATTAGAAATAGACAGTGTGCCATGCTTATAGTATTCACATACCAAATATGAACAAAATCGCTCCACGACTTTTCGAGTTATAGTAAAATACGTTAAAATGGCAGCCATTTTTCAAAATTTTTTTCAAAATGGCCGCCTTCTACCAAAAGTGTCATGGGACAGTGTGCCATGCTTATAAATAGTATTCACATACCAAATATGAACAAAATCAGTCCACTACTTTTCGAGTCATAGTAAAATCCGTTAAAATGGCGGCCATTTTTCAAAATTTTTTTCAAAATGGCTGCCTTCTACCAAAGGTGTCATAGGACAGTGTGCCATGCTCATAGTATTCACATACCAATTATGAAAAAATCGCTCCACTACTTTTCGAGTTATAGTAAAATACGTTAAAATGGCGGCCATTTTTCAGTTATAGTAAAATACGTTAAAATGGCGGCCATTTTTCAAAATGGCCGCCTTCTAACAAAAGTGTCTTTAGACAGTGTGCAATGCTTATAGTATTCACATACCAAATATGAACAAAATCGCTCCACTATTTTTTGAGTTACAGCAAAAATCGTAAAATGACGAGTAAAGGATGCCATTTTTCAAGATGGCTGCCATGTGCTTCTTTAATATCTACATTTGTAGCATTATTAATGCCCCTTATAATTTTTTTTACATTTAAAACATATTGCTATTACAGTTTTACATATTGCACCTAAATTACTGTAAAATCGGCCCTAAAATGGCCGCCATTTTGAAATGAGCGGCCATTTTGAAAATCGGCTTTCGAGCAGAACTTCTACCCCCATAGGTTATATGTGTACAAAATATGAACAAAATCGGGCCAACGGTATTTGAGTTATTGCCCGGACGGACGGACGTACGTACGTACGGACGGACGTCATTTGTTGTTGCTGCATTGGTTTCTTCATTCATTTTCTTCTTTCTTTGTCTTGATTTGATTGCGATGTTACTTATCTTTCTTCAGGGTCCACAGACTTGAGACTGCGCATAGGTGGGTTAAACGTTTTGATCCGGCCGGAAAACTCTCCCCTTCCCCTTACTGTTGGTCTTATGCTGATTTGTCATCTTAGTTTACCCTCTTTGCGGAGAAGATACTGTTTCATATTCATTTGTAAATGTTCTCTTCTCTCATTAATTTTCCAGTCCTTCATGATGATATTCTCCTGCATATTGTATTTAGTACATATCCATTTATTTCTTGTTATAGCTTTCTTAGTATACAAATTTAGTATGTTGCTCCTGTAGCCTTGACATTGTAGTTTATTTCCCAGGCTGGTAACTCTGTTTGTTGCATCTTCCAGTTGACTGCAGATTCTTGAAATCCTTATTATTTGTGATATAAATATTCCATAAGATTGGTTTCTAGGAATATTTCCAGATAGATCAGGATATGAGACTATTTGGAAATTGAAGTTTTCCCTTTTGTCGTATAGTTTTGTAGTGATTTGTTTATTTACTATTTTCATTTGTATGTCCAGAAAAGTTGTTTCTGTATCCTTCTCATTTTCCTTGTTTAACACTAGTTCTTCAGGATAGATGTTCTTCATATCAGTCTCCATTTCTCCGTCGTTGTTTATAGTACATAAATCATCGATGAATCTTGTAGTTTTAGCATATTTTAGTACTTTGGAGTAGTCTTCCCTATACATTTTCTCAATGGCTTGAAATTCATAACTGTATAAGTATAGGTTTGCCATATATGGCGCCGGATCGATTCCCATCGGTATTCCAATTTTCTGTCTTAGAATTGATTTCCCTGCTTTAAAGTAGGCTGTATCCACGATGAAATCCACTAGATCATTGCACTCTCCTTTGGTATATGCCTTTTTATTATCCGCCTTTCCACCCCATTTGGCTTCATCTCCACCTACTGTTATCTTTTGGTTAGTTCCTCCTCTGAAGGCTTTATCTATCACCCATTTCAGTTTTTCCTTTATGTCAGTTAGATTAATCTTTGTGTATAGTGTAGAGAAATCATACGAGGCTATGTTTCTTGCCCCGTTCCTTAAAGGTCTACCCCCGATAAGGAGAGCTTTTTAGAATGCTGCAACTCTTTTATTCTATAAGTTATCATCATGGAATTTTGACACTTTTTTAGAAATGAGGTGGATTTTGATATACCAAAAGACAACATGTGTAATAAAATTTTTTTTTTCTTAAGAACATATTTAGCAAAGCCATGAACTCATTTTTTAAGGTTAGACCCTTCACTTGTGATTCAATCATTGCAATGCCTTATAAGATAGAAGCAAAGTGTCACAGTTGGAAGATACCTAGTTATCAGAAATCTTAGAAAACGAAAATAAATGAGAGGCGCGTCCCTAGAAATGTGTTTTTGAGACCTTTTTCCACTTTTCCCATGTTAAAATATAGGAGGCTCAGATTCCCGGGGATTGACTAGTTATATTTCAAGTTTTCTACGCTTTTAATGATTAATTATTTTAAAGAGGGAAGCACTGTTTCATTGTTTTCAAGTCAAAAGGGAATGTGTAGATAGTAAAACGAATGAATTAAATTCAACATATTATAATCGGAGTCCAGTCTCGTGTTGCGGATTGATCAAAATGTAGCTTCATATGTGTTATTTGC